TATAAATCAGATTTTAAAGCCATTCTTCAAATTCCAAAAGTTCTTTTGTAATCAACTCAAATTATTTGGCCACTAGAAAGCAGGTATTTTCAGGTTCATATTTTCATTGCTTTAAATGTCCTAGTTTTAAAAACATTATTTTAAATGTGTATGTGTAGCTTGTGTATGTATGTGTGTTTATAATATATATGTATATAATTATTATGAATAATTCTCACTACTTACATACCAGGTATTATGCTACATTCTATCTCCTTTAGTCCTTTGAATATCAAAACAATCCCTGGGGGATTTTTATTCTTCTTTTTGCTGAGGGAAAAAGCTAGGGAGCTAAGCTGTGGTTATTTTAGATAACTTCCTGAAGACCACACAACCAATTGACAGAGCTGGGAATGACACTTAGATTTGTGTGACTTCAAAGCCAATACTTTCTCCAGTACCTTAACTATCTTCTCAGTTAAAGAAAAAGTTATATGAAACAAAATACATATAGGATCAAAATATCTGTAAATGAGTATTTCCCATTCTCTTATATACATGTATACTTATCAAAAATTGCTATTTATTTTTGATTTTGCTATCTTCCCTTTAAAAAGGCTCATCAGATTAGATATTTTTAAAGCTACTGATGTAAGAAAAAACTAAATCAACCACAGTTTCATAGGCACATCTTAGAAAGAACAAATTACACATGAGATAGTAGGAAAAAAAATGTCTGTGCTGTATGTTAGTGAGAAATGAATGAATGGAAGAATGAAGGGATTGTTTTTCTGTCAAATTTCCTGTGCATGAGGGGTACCTGGGTGGCTCAGATGGTTAAGCATCTGCCTTCAGCTCAGGTCATGATCATTCGGCTTAGGTCATAGTCCCAGGGCCACGGGATGGAGTCCCGGGTCAGGCTCCCTGTTCAGCGTGGAGTCTGCTTGAGATTCTCTCTCCCTCTCCCTCTGCACCACAAACCCCTGACACTCACGCTCTTTAAATAAATAAATACATAAATAAATAAAATCAATCTTTTTTTAAAAAAGTATATGAATTGGTGGTCAAAATATTAACTGACCTCGCTAAAGAAATATGCAAGGGCATGGACTAACCACTGCACACACTAAATAAACAACTATGCATTTCTATAGCAGTTAATTCTATTTATAAATAGTCCCAGCACCACTCCTTTGCTTCATATTCTTATGGATAGAAGCTAAAGGGAATACATTTTCTACATACAGATCACACAGGATCAAATTTAAAATCTGCTTTGTACTTGTGACTCAGAATTGTAATTACCTAAGAGCTGTTTTATAATCTAAGTAAAATTTTATGGTCAATATTCCATCCTGTGTGTGCTTGTGTGTATGTGTTTAAAGCTGTGGGTGTAACCAGCAGTACAGGCCTAGTGTGGAAGGATGGTTACCGTGCAAATCTACGGCATCTGACTTACATAATGAAGCAGTATAACAGAAAAACTTCCAACCAGCCTTCAAGGTAAATAGAGAAGAGTCACAGGGCTGCAAGCTGATGTTGCCAATATATACAACATTAATTTATAAAAGAAGGGATTAACTGCTTCAATGACACTGATTTTAATGATAGCTTCAAAGAAAAATGATGAGAACATTGTGTCCTTAATAATACAATCACCCCTGATTCCTACTGAATGTAGTCACGGAGGCTATTTATTAGGTTCTTCTCCTCATTTAAGGCAAAGAATTAGTTCTATTAATACTACAATAAATAGTAAAAATTTACATAATTTCTTAATATGAGGAAAACACAAATATGAAATTCACAATTAAGACTATAAGAACTGATAACTCTTTTTTTTTAAAGATTTTATTTATTTATTTGACAGAGAGAGAGATAGCAAGAGCAGGAACACAAGCAGGGGGAGTGGGAGAGGGAGAAGCAGGCTCCCCGCTGAGCAGGGACCCCCCCCCCCGATGCGGGGCTCGATCCCAGGACCCTGGGATCATGACCTGAACCGAAGGCAGTCGCTTAACCGACTGAGCCACCCAGGCGCCCCTGATAACTCGTTTTTTTTTAATTTTGAATTTAAAGAACATAAGAATTGATAACTAGTAATTTGCATTCTTCTTGAACTCAAAAAAGAAGTGGAAGAAAAGGCTGCTTCACTAGTAAAACATTGATAATGAAATACTTGCCCAGTCTTTACCATATAGTTATTGACCTCTGGTCAGAGAAGACTTGTGGAGTTTTACCAATGGAAATTCAATGGTTAATAATAATGATGATGATAATACTTTAATAGGAATAGCAGCAATAATATTTAATTATAAAATAGGGTACTAATAGTAATATGAACAAAGATAGTAACTAAAATGTTTCAGGTGCTTCCTATGTGCTACCCTTTGTCATTAAATTTTTGCACCAAACCATGTAAATAGATAGTATTAACACACCATATTAAGGAAATGTTTTCTTGGCAAATCACAGTCAGTGTTTAGTCTTGAAGAATCAGCAGTCTGTGTGCCTAGATGGACAAGAACAGGTTCTGGAAAGAGTAGGTGAGCAGCCTGAAAGATTTTGCCATTATGTCTTCCCTCCCTTGAATCATGAACTAAAGATAATTCAGAGGTAAGTTATTGAAGCCATTCGTCTTTTCAAAACATTTTTGCCATCAAATTGATAAGACCTTTTTTTTTTTGGTCTTTATGTTTTTCAAAGTACTTTTGCTACGTTGCATCTGTATTTTTTATCTAAATTCCTTGAGGTGAATAAGTATTGCTATCATTACATGGAAGAAAATGTTGCTAAATTAAGAGTCACAGTGTCAGACTGTCTGAATTTATATCCTGACTTGTTCACTTATTAGTTATGTTAATTCAGACAAGTTTTCAACCTCTCTGTAACTCAATTTTTTTGTTATAAAAATAATAATAGTAGCTATACCCCATTACACTGATACGAAGATTAAATGAAGTAATAGGAGTAAGGCATTTAGAACATAGTAAAATCTCAGTGCATGTCAACTCTCATCAAACCTATTTTACGGGTAAACAACCTGAGGCACAGAGTCTCATGTCATAGAGTCAGCATTAGACTAAGAGTTCATAATCATGACTTTTAGGTTCAACATTATTTGCTCCTCTACTCAGTTGTTCCCATACTTGACTTTTGGATCCTGAGGCAAACCAAAGTATTATTCCAAGGGATCTTTCATTTCATATAAAATTATAATAATAATAGCATCTAATATTTATTGAGCATGTACTGTATGTTACACACTATGCTAAATCTCTTACACAGATTCTCCTTTAATCCTCAAATTTCTATTAGACAGACCTTATTATTTCATCCATTTATAGACAAAGAATGCAAGGCAAAGAATATTTAAGCTGACAAATACTAGTAAGTTTCTGATTTAGAAATCAAATTCAGGCAATGTGGCTTCAAAGCTCAAGTCTTAGCCACTCATGTTCTCCTACTGACTAAAATAAGTAAATGGACAGCATCTCACCACTAGAATTCATCATGTTCAAAAGTCAGACACACTACACTGTTCTCCACTATCCCATCATCAAAGAACCCCAAATTCAATATGGTTCTATAATCCTACATTCCCATTTGTTTATACCATGGCTACCTTAAAGAACCCATTTCTCTACTTCTGGATCATTGAAGATAAACTACCATAGTATACCCAAGAGTAGATTAATTAATTGGAATTATTTTCTTTTATACCTATAATTACAATATTTTCCCTCATTAGAGTGTGAGAATGCTATTCTTTGATTTTAATATTTTATTTTTTGGCATGTATATTTCCAAATTTCATTAAATATGTACAATTTATGTTTCTTCATTTTGTTTTTAGGTTGTAATCTCAAGAAACAATATAAGTACCCATCATATAAACTTTATTTAGTACCTATTTAAATGCAAAATGTATTAGATGGATGATATCTAGTATCCTGATACTAACATTTTATGCCTCATTTCCTAAATTTACATGACTTTTAAAGAAATATAATCAGGTGGTGCAGAAATGTAAAGGTAGTAAAGAATATTAACTTAATGTTAAGAAAATCTTCCCCATATTTTTTTCTCCTACTCACACAATTGGCCTTTCCATAGGCAACCATATATTAAATTCTTATTTATCTTTCCAGATATATTTACATGTATATAATATATACATTTATACATATACATCTCTCCTCCCTCATTTTTAGACTCATATGCCTTGTATGGTAGTGCCAGATTGTTTTCCAAAGAGTTTGCTCCAATTTACTATCATTACTAAATTATAAAGTGCCTATTTTAGTCTTTCCATTGATGCTGGCAGAAGGTTTGCTTTCATGTTTCATGTTTAAAAGGGGTTACCTATTGTATATTCTGGGCATGTTAGTAGGCTGCTCAGCACCAAAGTTAAATGATATAACCCTTAATTTAAAAGAATAAAACCGTGTCCATTAAAAGTTTAGTGATGAGAATAAAATTTTTTTAACAGTTGTCTAAGATCTGAGATAATAAATATATACCCCCCAGTTTTTGGAAGTTCTTGGAAGATAAGTTTTAATCATCACAGAAGGTTAAATTTTAACTTATATTTTTCAGTTGTAGAAAAATCTCAGTGACATCAATGGTTTATTTCTATAAAATCATCATCTCTTGTGGGTAATTGATACAACATTTTAAACAAATCTTTACCTTAAAAGCCGTAAATAACTTTCTGTAATTTTTTTACTTGCTGAAAACCAACTATGTGGCCTACTTTTTCTTTATAAACATTATGCAATATAACTTGTCCAACAAGTCTATGAAGTCAATGATACCAATCCAAATTTAAAGACCAAAAAGCTGAAACTCAACAATATTAACTAGCTCCAGGTGAAACAATTAATACGGTATGGTAAGTACATGAATAAGTAAGTTTCCCACAAGTACTAGTCACAAAATAGACAAAAACATTGTTGAATGAATGGATTAAATACACAATAGATGTATAATCATGCTATAGCTTCCTAAAACAAATGTCTTACCTCAAAGGCAAATGACAAAGAAGGCATGAAAGGCTTCAGATGACCAAATCTACACAACATGAGGAATACCAAGCAACGGAAAGTTTCCAGAACAGCTGCCTTAGGTCTGAAACAAATGTCATTAACATATATTAGCTTTAAAGATGCTCTTCATATGTTTACATGTTATAATTGATATAGTGATACACATTTCTTTTAATTTTCAAGAAATACACAGTATTTTAATATATTTGAAGAGCATGTGCCTCTGAAGCTGTTTGAAAACAGCCATTAAACTAAGAAATAAAATGCATCTTTTTAAAGAAAATCTGTTCTTTATCAATGTATTGCTTAGTTTGAGCTTTGATGAGTTAGGGTGAAGCATACTTTCAACTAATAAATAAAATACTAAACAACTAAATTTCTAGGATTTAAAGTAAACAAGGCTCCTTTCACTCACTCAATACCTTTATACTTCATTCATATAAAAAATGACTTGTAAGGAGGACTAATACAGTTAACCACTCTAAAATCATGAATTGTTGATTTCTGAAATATTGGGAAAATGGATAATATGTGATTATGCATAATATGATAGGTAGCATAAATATAGACCTTTGTTATTTATTTTGTGATGAATATTTTTGTATAAATGGTATTCTTAAAATTCAAACTCTAAGTTAAATAAGTATGTTTATGTATTTGAAACAGCATTGAATGTCATGTACAGATAAGCATTTATAAATTATCTTGTAATAACAGGAATGAACAGCTACTTTATCAGCTTAAAATAAGCTTCATATATATTCATCTAACATCTGTTGGATAAATATTTTTAGTAACAGATAAATAGTATTGTTACAAGTGAGTTTTCTAATTAAAAGATTCTTGAATTAATGTCATAATACAGATATATTATTTAGTTAATTTAGAATATAGAGGTATGAAGAGAAACATGAAGAAAATCTAAAGTAATATATCTATTTAACTCAAATATTTCTTCTGCATCTACTAATTATGACTGTTTCTTTAAAATTGAATATAACATTTTTATACAAAAAAAGAGAACACTTTTTTCAAGTACTTTAAACTCAGTTAAAACAGGGTAATGGTATATGATTGTTTGCATTCAAGTAATGCGACTTATCGTTCTGTGAATAAAATATTAAAAATTTTCACTTGTCAAATAATGCTATATAATCAGTATAAGCTAGTTTTTAAAGAAAATCAACATCTGGGTAATTTCCAACAGCAAAAAAAATTCTACTTTAAAACACAATTGATTTTTATTATGTTCTCTTTACTTTTTAATATTTTATATTATGAAATGAAATAGACATATAGGGAAATATATAAAACAGAAATATGCAATTTGATGACTTTGAACAAATAAACAACCTTGTAACCACCACTCAATATCAGCACCCCCAAAGGTAGCTCGTACCTCCTCAATATTTCCATCTTCTTTCTACCTGAGAAAGAATCACTATACCCCTTTATGATAAGCATAACCTTTTTCTCCTTTTTAAATTAATATTTTTACCACATTAGCATAAATTCTTTAAAATTATTGTATTTTTTCTTTTTATAAATGGGATTATATTGTACACAGTCTTTTGTACCTAGCATCTTTCATTTAGTGTTGTTAATGAGATATACTTATGATGTTGCATTTGGCAGCAGCTCATTCTTTTCACTCTTGTAGAGCATTCCATTGTGTAAATGTACCAGTATACATGCATCCACTCACCTCGTAAAGGACATTTGGATTGTTGGTAGCATTTGTTTATCATGAAAAATGCTGTCCAAACATTCTTTTACATGTCTTTGGACTACCAGGTAATACGGTATATATGTCCAAATATAGTAAAATTTTCAATCTTTCAAATTAGGTATCACAATATAAATTCTCCCTTCAGTGTGTGAGCATTTCATCAATAGAGCTTGTCAATACTTTTAGTCATTTGGGATAAAAGGTGTTTGCTACTCACAAAATTTGCAAATAGCATTTTCTATCTGAAGGTTTTATATTTTACTATCTTAATGAGAGTTAATTATTGAAGAATTGATTTTCTTAATGTTATTATAGTCTAATCAATTTTATCTTTATGATTAGGGATTTTTGTGTACCATTTAATATTTTTACCTACTCTAAGGTTATAGAGATATGTTACTATGCTATTTGCTGGAATCTATATTAGTTTTCCACTCACTTTTAAATCTGTAAGTCCTTGACCCCAGAATTAACTTTTTATGGTGTGAAATATTTGCCAAGTTAATTTTTCTTATTCCTATGTGGAAATCAAATGTTTCCAAGACCATTTATTGAAAAGACAGCCTTCTCCCACAGCTCTGCAGGGACACCTTTGTCACAAATCAAGTATATACACATATATATATATATGCATAGATCTGTTTCTAGGTTCTCTGTTCTAATCTTTGTGCCAATAAAGCATGTCTAATTACTGTAGCTTTATAATAAATATTGACAGCCAGTGTAGCAACTACTGCCATTTTTTTTTTAACCTCAAGACTGTGTTGGCTATTATAGGTCCTTTGCATTTCCATATACATATATCTTGGAAAGAGGCTGCCAAATTCCAGGAAGAAATCTTTTACAATTTTAATTCCAATTGTATTAAATTTGTAAATCAATTTGGTGAGAAATTATAATCTTTATAATACTAAACTTTCTAATCTATGAATATAGTTATCTCTCCATTTATTTAGTTGTTTAGTTATTTTTCATAATATTTCAATAGTTTGACAGTGTTTTGTTTTTTTTTTTAAGATTTTATTTATTTGACAGAGACACAGTGAGAGAGGGAACACAAGCAGTGGGAGTGGGAGAGGGAGAAGCAGGCTCCCCACCAGGCAGGGACCAGATGCGGGGCTCGATCCCAGGACCCTGGGATCATGACCTGAGCTGAAGACAGACGCTTAACAACTGAGCCACCCAGGCGCCCCAGTTTGATAGTGTTTTAAAGAGATTTTTCATCATTTCTTTTAAGTTTTTATTTTAGTTTCAGCTAGTTAACATACAGTGTTGTATTAATTTCATGGGTACGATGTCATGATTTGACAATTCCATACATCACTTGGGGATCGTCACAAGTGCGTTCCTTAATCTCCATCACCTATTTCACCCATCTCCCCTCCCCTCTGGTAACCATCTGTTGTTCTCTATAGTTAAGAGTCTGTTTCTTGGTTTAACTCTCTTCCTCTCTCTTTTTTTCCCTTTGCTCATTTGTTTTGTTTCTTGTTCCACACAAGAGTGAAATTATATGGTATTTGTCTTTCTATGATTGACTTATTTCACTTAGCATTATATTCTCTAGCTCCATCCATGTCATTGCAAATGCAAGATTTCATTCCTTTTTATGGCAGAATAACATTCCACTATATGTATATATATATATATATATATATATATATATATATGTATGTGTATACAGACACAATATAACGTAGTGATATATTATACATTATACACACACAATACAACATAGTGATATATTATACATCATATATAAACTACATATTATAAATTTTATATATATATATCTCATTTTCCTTATCCATTCATCAATCAATGGACACTTCTTGAGCTGCTTCCATATCTTGGCTGTTGTAAATAATGCTGCTATAAACATAAGGGTGCATGTACCTCTCTGAATTAGTGTTTTTGTATTCTTTGGTTAAATACCTAGTAGTGCAATGACTTTTTCACAGTGGCAGCACCAGTTTGCATTCCCATTAACAACGCAGGAGGGTTCCTTTTTCTTACATCCTCATCAACACCTGTTGTTTCTTGTATTGTTGATTTTAGCCATTCTGAGAGGTTTGAGGTGGTATCACATTGTAGTTTTGATTTGCATTTCCCTGATTATAAGTGATGATAAGCATCTTTTCATGTGTCTGTTGGCTATCTGGATGTCTTTGGAGAAATATCTGTTCATGTCTTCTGCCCATTTTTTAATTGAATTCTTTGGTTCTTGGGTGCTGAGTTTTATAAGTTCTTTTATGTATTTTGGATACTAACCCTTTATTGGATATATCATTTGCAAATACATTCTCCCATTCCATAACGTGACTTTTAGTTTTGTTAATTATTTGTGTAGAGAAGCTTTTTATTTTGATGTAGTCCTAACAGTTTACTTTTGCTATTATTTCCCTTGCTTCGAGGGATATAGCTAGAAAAAAGTTGCTATGGCCGATGTCAGAGAAGTTACTACCTGAGTTCTCTTCCAGGATTTTTATAGTTTCAGGTCTTGCATTTAGGTTTTTAATCTATTTTGAATTTGTTTTTGGTGTATGGTGTAAGAGAGTGATCCCGGTTTCATTTTTTTGCATGTAGCTGACTGGTTTTTCCACCACCATCTATTGAAGAGACAGACTGTTTTTTTTCCCATTGGATATTCTTTCATGCTTTGTTGAAGATTAACTGACCATATAATTGTGGACTTATTTCTGGGGTTTCTATTCTGTTCTATTGATTTATATGTCTACTTTTGTGCCAGTACCATACTGTTTAGATCACTAAAGCTTTGTAACATAACATGAAGTCCAGAATTGTGATGCCCCCAGCTTTGCTTTTCAAGAGTGCTTTGGCTATTCAAGGTTTTTTGTGGCTCCATATACATTTTAGGATTTTTTGTTCTAGTTCTTAAAAAAAAAAAACTCTTGATATTTTGATAGGGATTGCAGTGAATGTGTAGACTATTTTGAGTAGACATCTTACCAATATTTGTTCTTCCAATCCATGAGCATAGAATATCTTTCCATTTCTTTGTGTTGCCTTCAATTCCTTTCATCAGTTTTTTACAGTTTTCACAATACAGGTCTCTCACCTCTTTGGTTAGGTTTATTCCTAGGTACTTTATTATTTTTGATGCAATTGTAAATGGAAATGTTTTCTTAATTTATCTTTCTGCTGCTTCATTATTGGTGTATAGAAATGCAACAGATTTCTGTATATTGATTTTATATCCTGTGACTTTACTGAATTTATCAGTTCTAGAAGTTTTTTGGTGGAGTCTAGAGTTTTCTATAGAGCATATCACATCATCTGCAAATAGTGAAACTTTTACTTCTTCCTTACCAATTTGGATGCCTTTTATTTCTTTT